AAAAGAAAAAAGCACAGGTCCTGTGACCCCAGGGCAGTTTCACCGTGGGGGTGAGCTATGAGAAAAGAGCACGAACGGAACCTTTCAAGTTGCGTGAGCTGCAGTCATGTGTGGCTAACAGTCCCAGGAGGTGAGGCAGCAGTGTAACAGGGTTAAGCATTAACCTAAGCGCTAAAACTCTCTTTCCAAAGCAAGAGACCTCCTGCAGGCCCGTCTACACCGCAAGTGCAGAGCGGAGAGGTGTCTCTGGGGCTTTGTCTCCTGCAGGGGCCAGAGGTTAAGTAAACACGTATATGTGTGTGCATGTGTGTGCCTGTGTGTGTGTACGGGGCAACTGCCATTAGAAAGTGTGGCGAGTGTTACGAAGAAAGTAACCATGTGATGAGAAAATTGGGGCACAACTTAGGTTTGCAGCCTTTCTGCGAAAAGAGGTGAACGCGCAGAGGAAAGCACACAGCAGGCCCGGGTGACTCCTGGAGTCTGGGAGGATGAGCCGCTCTGCTTCCTGTGATGAACGCTGGGGGAGGGAACCCCAGTTATGAGGAGGACCAGGTATGACAGGTATGAGGAAGGCCCAGGGCTCTTGTGCAAGAAGCATGGGGCAGGCAGAAATAGGAAGGTGGAGTGTGAAGGGCCAAAACTTCCAGCAATGTGTGTCCAGCACTTCCTATGTGCTTAGCAACACTTGGGGATCCTGATGCTGAAAAGAATGGTTCTTCCTCTCAGTAAGGCCAACAGCAAACCTCCTTCAAAGAGAACACCCCCAATACCTCTGTCTCCATCTTAGACAGAGCCTCTGCACTGCATTGGTGACTCTAACAGTGATTTCTGGTTTTTATTTTATTTATTTATTTATTTAATTTTATTTATTTATTTATTTTTTGTCTTTTTGAGACAGGGTCTCACTCTGCAGTTCAGGCTGGCCTTGAGCTCACTTTGTAGCCCAGCCTGGTCTCGAACTCACAACGATCCTCCTGCCTCAGCTACCCCAGTGCTGGGATTACAGGTGTGCACCACCATGCCTGGCTGTGATTATGGTTTTTAGACTGCAGTACTGGGCCCGGAGCCTCCCTCTACTACTCAGCTGCATTCCCAGCCCCTTTTGGTCTATTTTGATGAGATCAGGCTCGTTCAGGGTAGTATGGCTGTAGACTTTAGTCTATTTTGAGACAGGGTCTTACTGAGTTGCCCAAGCTAGGCTCAAACTTGAGATCCTCCTGCCTCAGCTTCCTGAATAACTGGGATTGCTGATGTGCATCGCCATGACTGGCTGAAAAATTTCTTTAAAAAAACAAAACACAAACTTTTTTTGTGTGTGGGTCTGGGGGTCAAACCCAGCACCTGTGCACCTTGCCAAGCAAGCACTCTACCTGAGCCACACCCCTTCTGATGAATTTTTAAATTAACAAATGCATCTTACTTCCTACCACAGACACCGCTCCCCCACCCCAGTCTTCCAGCAGTCTATGGCTAGAGATCAGAAAGGTTGCCAAGCCTCTCCAGAGATGTGGAGAGGTACTTCTGACTACTCAAGGGAACAATCTTTCTTCTTATTTGCTTCTTTTTGAGACAAGGTTTCACTATGTAGCCCAGGCTGGCCTCGGACTCATGGTGATCGTCTTGCCTCAGCCTCACAAGTGCTAGGATTACAGGCCTTTGCTACCACGCCCAGCTCACAATCTTTCTTTACATACAGCACACAAGTTCTTTCTTCAACGTCCTGTTTCCTGTTTAAGGGTACTAAGCTTGAAAGTCTTTGTTGTAATCTCCACAAAAGTAAAACCCACAATATTTATTGGGCTGCTTAGATAAGGTGTCCTTTACCTCCCACTGGAGGAGCTTAACAATGACAAAGCTAGTGAAGGTTCTAGCTGCAAAAAGCGATGCCCTAGTTGGGGTTCAGTTCTGAGATAGTCTAAGTAATAACTCGGTTGTGTGTGACAGAACATCAGTGTTGTGACAATGGATTCTCTTCTTTCTTTTTTAAGACAGTCTCTCTCATTGCCAGGCTGGCTTCAAACTCACTGCGATTCTCTGCCCCAGCCTTGCTGGGCTGGGATTATAGGTGAGGGCTACTATGCTCCAACTATTTTTTCCCCCTCTTTTGTGTGATGCTGGGGATTGGATTGAGCCCAGGTCCTTGCACAGGCTAAGTATGTCAGGTTCTATGTAAAAAAGCATGTATACATACTCAGCATAGTGCCCACAGAGTAGGTGCTGACTAAATGTGCAGTATTTGAAGACCTTAAAAAGATCTTAAAGCCGGGAGTGGTGGTGTTCACTGCAATAGGCTAAAGCAGAAGGATCATAAGTTTGAACCCAGCATGGATATGGGTAACTTTCCCTAGGTTCAATCCCCAGTCATGCATGCACACACGCACGCACATACGACAGCCTATGAATGTAAGAGGAGCAGATCTTTTCAAGCAAGGGACAAAGCTAAGAGTGACAGAACAGTTTGACAGTTTGATTAGAATGGAGGATTTCTCCCTTAGGTAAGGAACAGGCTGACAAATGCTGATGTATGACTTATTTGTGTGGATATTCCAGGTCACTGAAAGAGTTGTGAAAAGGAATATAATGTTTAAAGCCCTACTTTAAGAAAGTTAACTTGGAAAAGGCACACAGGAAGAAAGCTGAGAGTAAAAGTGATATTAAGGAAATAATTCACAAAACCATTATGATGATTCAAATTATTTATTTTGTGGGGCTGGGGACTGAACCCATGATCTTAGGCATGTTAATCAAGTGCTCTACCTACCACTGAGCTACCCCTCAGTTCCAACTTAAGTTTTACTTGTTTTTGCTAAGCTACATCCCCAATCCTTTTTTAAACTTTGAGACAGGGCCTAAGTCACCAAATTGCCCAGGTTGGGCCAAATTTATGATCCTCTTGTCTCAGCCTCCCTGAGTTTTACACCTACAGGCCTGTGTCACCATACAAGGCTCAAACTCAAGTTTTATTTATTATCTATTTACTCGTTTTTTTTTTTTTTTTTTTGAGACAGGGTTTCACTCTACAGTCCTGTCTGACTTGGAACTCACTATGTAGCACAGGCTGGCCTCGAACCTATGGTGATCCTCCTACCTCAGCCTCCCAAGTGTTGGGATTATAAGTGTGTGCTACCTTATCTGTCTCAAGTTTTAAATAGCACTAATTCATTTAGCCTGAAAAAAACTGGTGTGACACTGACAGTCAGGTTGGGCTCAGTGTGGAGGACATTCTTTGATTAGAAAGCACTGAGGACACACAATGATTTGTTTGTTGTTGCAAAAATGAACTGAAACCTTTCACCTGAAGAGTGTATTTGAATTGCAGGAGATCCCTATATTTTGGTCTTGCCATGCATTGTAAAAATTAATGGGAAGTAAGGACTGTGATTGTAGTGGATTGACAACTGGTGGTCAGCTTATAATTCCCAGCTATACTGAATAAGTGTGGTGCTGGGTGTGGGAGGCCCACCTGGGGACTGTTGCCAGCAGCATAAGAGGCAGAACTGGAGAAGGATAATGCTTTAATTACTGAAACGTTTGATATCTGCCCATTTGTACTAGCTACGCCCTTGGTTCTTGCTCAATAAAAGGTGGCTGAGATTGGTAACTGGGGCTGCAGTCCGAGAGACTATAAGCCCCCTGATCTCAGACTTTTGCCTCTCTTGTTCTTCTTGTCTCTCTCACTTTTCTTTTCATCCGCAGGCACCTCATTTTCCGGACCTGTCACCCTGGTTAGAACGACAGCTCAGTTGCACCGATTTAGGTTTTATTTCCTGAATCCTTGTGGGGGGACAAGAGAAAGGTACCGAAAATTGAAATTATTGAAAAGCTGTGGATAACACAAAGAGTATTATTATGGAACAGTAATAAAAATGTTGAATTTCTGTGTGTATGATGCACACCTGAAATCCCAAGCACGCTGGGAGGCTGAGGTAAGGAGGATTCCAAGTTCCACCCCAGTCGGGGAACTGAGATTCTGACTCAAAAAAACTAAACAAAACAAAACCAAAAACCAGTTCAATGCGAAGGCCCTGGGTTCAACCCGCAGTGCCACCACTCACGCAAAAGGGAGTTGACAGAGGATAGAACTTTGATAGAAAAAACTGGTAGAACGCTTGGGGTCGATAGAGCCAGTACAAATTTTTGCTTGATGAGGATTCTCCCCCCCAAAGTACTATTATTATTATTATCTTGTCTTTTTTGAGACAGAGTCTCTCTATGCAGTTCAGGCTGGCCTTGAGCTCACCTTGTAGCCCAGGCTGGTCTCGACCGTGCAATGATCCTCCTGCCTCAGCCTCCCGAGTGCTGGGATTAAAGGCGTGTGCCACCACGGCCGGCCCGAAAAGTATTATTATCTTCCTTCCCTCTCCATAACTAGGAAAAACAGCAGGATTAATTACTTTTCCAATCATTCAGGACATCACTGTTCGTCAATATGACCTCTATTAAGTATAACTCTGTATTTCCGATGCAAAATAACAGTTATGAGAGATTGGGGTTATCATCAGAACATACCCTGGAATTGCAAGAGTCCTCACCTCTGCCTTCTGGAACGCTTGATTATGTCAAACAGAACTGCAAGGACTCCGGCATGGTCTCATGGTCCCCACCTTAAACCGCGCAGTCCCGCGACACCTACCCGGACCCCGACTCGAGGAGGCGCGGGGGGCTCCGGCCCGCCCCGGTGCGGACCCTAGGGGCGCTCTGCTCGCTCCTCAGGGAACCTCAGGGCCGCTCTGGGCACCGCTGAGTAGTCCGCAGGGGTCCGCCTCAGCCCTCGCGGTTCCCCCTTACCCGCTCTCCCGGGTCCAGCCGCAGCACGGCGCGGCGCCCGTGGGAGGAGCTTGCGGCTCCCGCCTTGCCTTGCGCAGCGCACCAGGTGAGTACGCGTGCGCAGTCCAGCCGTAAACAAGCCCGCCCATTCCCCTCGGCCCGCCTTCCCGGGGCCGGCTCGAGGGTGGGCGGGGCAAGGGGGAAGGGGCGGGGGTAGCGCGAGCGCCTGGGACGGCGCCTGCGCGGTGGGCGTGATCCGGGCACTTAGGGCAGGATGAACGCTGCTTTCCAAGATGGCGACGGAGGGAGGAGGGAAGGAGATGAACGAGATTAAGACCCAATTCACCACCCGGGAAGGTCTGTACAAGCAGCTGCAGCATTCGGAGTACAGCCGGCCCAACCGGGTGCCCTTCAACTCGCAGGGATCCAACCCTGTCCGCGTCTCCTTCGTAAACCTCAACGACCAGTCTGGCAACGGCGACCGCCTCTGCTTCAATGTGGGCCGGGAGCTCTACTTCTATATCTACAAGGGGGTCCGCAAGGTACCGGCCCGCGCGTCCCCGGGGCCCGCCCGCCGCGGGCGGAGGCTGGGAGCAGGGCGGTGACAGCGGC